TCTCTGATATCCACACATTACTTGTGTCTTCCCAAAGATGTTGGATTTGCCAAATTCCCTTTTCTACCCAATGACCCCATTTGGCTTCTGATTTGTAGAGGGGGAAGCTTTCTCCTTTCTCGTTTTTGATCCAGGGATTACCAAAGAGAGGTTGTCTGAGTACTTCGTCTCTTTTTTTGGGCCCTCTCCTGTTCTCTGGAAATATGTTTCTCCACATGCGTAGTATCTCTGTCCAGACTCCAGAGTGACTTCGACGATTTGTTGTCCTGTGTGTTGTCTCGAGTCAAGTGTGAGTTTTGGGTTCCTTGCTTTTGGGAAGTTTCCAATGCTTGCTGAAGATCCAGAAAAGGGCTGATATGTTCTCTGGTGATTTGAATGGAGCAAGCTCCCTAATGTGGTTAAGTGCAAGGGGAATGGATACCCTTCCACGTGTGCATTCTGTTAACCATGGATGATAGTAAGGAACCGGCTGATGAGTTGTGACATCCTTCTGTACTTAGGTTGATCCCTCGGAAGCGAATCGGCACGGATGGGTCTGCCTAGTGCATCTCCTCCGGCGTAAGTTCGATGGGAGGGGGAACTTCCGCAAGCCACCAACCAATTGTTTTTGTCCAATTCACTTTCACTTCAGAGGCCGACTGGAAGGCTTGCATTGCTTTTGTCAGTGCTTGGAATGGTGTGGTGAGTTTGATGCGCTGATGAGAACTGCGAGGTCGTCTGCGAATAGAAGTGTAGTGGGTATATGTAGGGGCGGTCCTCTTTCGTCCTTGATGTTCACGAGTGAAACGCTGACCTACCTATCTACAACAGGAACCGAGTTGGAAGGCCAAAGTGCAAATCAGGAATTATTTGACGCTACAAACAGGACGTTGTGGCTAATCCAACAAGGTCCTAAGCATCCATGAGCTAGCTGACACCTGACCTAATCTATGGCATGATGACCAGCAGCCCAGGTCACCAAGAATAGACCTGCAAAAATCCAACATCAAAAGCAGAAAGCACGACACATGCAAGGCTAGGGTTATCAAAGGCACTGCACTCCAATTCACCCGGTAATGCTCCTTTGATCACTGCGCCAATTGCAATCTGCCAGATGAGTATCTCTTCCCCATGCTGACCAATCTTCTTCGTTCAATCCAACTCCTCTGCAGTCAACCCTAATCTCCAGGCGGCAGTCAATTCCAACACCCACCGGCCAAAGCCTTTCTCAATGCCGGATGACAACGAGAGTCTGCTTCAGTTTGCGATAAGGCCACAATTCTAACAGCATCTTGCAGCACACAATTCGCACACGTCATCACACCAGAGTGGAAAGCCAACAAGCGATTTGAGAACGTAAAAATTGGTAAAAAATTAAAAGTCTCGTAAAACAGGTTTGGTTATACAAGCTTGATGGATATAGCCCCCAGCACCAGCAACTGAGAACTCTCTCTCTCTCTCTCTCTCTCTCTCTCTCTCTCTCTCTCTCTCTCTCTCTCTCTCTCTCTCTCTNCTCTCTCTCTCTCTCTCTCTCTCTCTCTCTCTCTCTCTCTCTCTCTCTCTCTCTCTCTCTCTCTCTCTCTCTCTCTCTCTCTCTCTCTCACAGGCCTCACTCACTCCCTCTGGATGTTTTTCTCACACTCTCTCGATCAACTACACCTGTGGCACCTGGTGCCTGTTGAGAAGAACAGCTAACTCGACTGCTTGCTCCAGCCGCACTCAACATCTAGCCACACAAAAGCGCAACAGTGCTTCTGCAGCACACACAAGTGCAAAGATATTGATGCCCACTGCCACTGGAGTTTCGTACGAGATGCTTAAGCTGCTCTTTCCGGATTCGGTACCCTCACTTGCTGGCTGCGGTTGGCCTTTTAAGGCATCCGGAATGTTCAACGACTTTCTTGGGACTCGGGCCACTGACTGGACTGGACTGGACCGGACCATGCTCGACTTGACTGTACTGGACCCAACCGGACTGGATCGGACTTGCTAACCTAAGCCTACCTGACTAAAGGACCGGGACCTATGGGACATAGGCCTGGGAACCGTGGGACCGATTCTGGGACAGGACACTGGTGCTCGTAAATCCGTTCACGATGGAAGATTATAAGGTTGTTTCAATTTTGGATCCACTCATCTGGGAGGGAAAGGGGTTCTTCAGGTTACAATCTACAACACACACACACACACACACACACACACACACACACACACACACGCACACACACACACACACACGCACACACACACACACGCACTATCAATTTTGTGTATGTCTTTCTATTTTTCTTCTGTCTTTCTTCCTCTGTTATTTGTGTATTTCTTCCAATTTTTTATTTTACCTGTCTAAGCGAGCACCTCTAAGCAGTGCCGAATCATCGGTCATTCCTCGTTTGGAGTGCCTGCTGCACTCTTTGGGGGGCTGCTCAGTTTGGGATGTCTGTGTTTCGTAAAGGTAATGACAGACATTTGTCGGAGTGACTCCCTGGCTCAGCAGGTGGTGGGAACCAACAGTCTGTGGGGTTCAGTTGTGGTGTGAGTAGGTGATGTACTGCTTTGCTCCATGTTGGATGTGTGGGCTGGCTTGTCTAAGCTCTGCAGCTGCCTTGCTGCCCATCCCACTTGCTTCCCTGCCGCGTGCTTCACTGCACTGTTGTCTTGCTGCCCACCGCGTGCCTTGTCTTCCATTCCACTTAGTTTATGTGCCGTGTAGTTTGGGTGCTTCGCAGCACTGCTTTATTCTTTGCTGTCTTGTTGCCTTGTGGCCCGTCGGTTCTGTGCAGTTACCTTTGGTGTTGCGCAGCGTTGCCTGGTGCTTCACTCAGCTGTTGCGTTCTTCTGTGTTCTGCTTGCGATGTTCCCTGCTGACAGTCTGCTTTCAACAAGGGTCAAAGAGTTCATGACCCAAAGCATGAATATCTGGATTGCACAGATTGCCGAGGTTTCAGCCTACTGATGAGTCGCTGCAAGTCCGACGAAACAATCTCTCATCATCAGGTTTTATGTTTTTTCAACTTTTTGGTCTTTGCATTTTCCGGGGCACATATTTTTCTCTGTTTTGCCCGCTTTGGGTGCTTGTGTGTCGTCTGCCTCCCACCTCTCCCGAGCCCTCTAGCGTTTGTCCTTTGCTGCTGCCCGTCGTCCTATGACTTGTTGTCTCATGCCTTTTTCATTGCTGTTTTTTTGTCTGCCTTCCCCTTAGTTGCCTTGTGTTGTTTGTTCGCCCACCCGCTTCCCCCGTGCCCTCCATCCGATGTGCCTTTGCTGCTGCCTGTTTTCCAATGCCTAGTTGCCTCCTTGCCTTGCCATTCACCATCTTTTGCTTTTCTGCCTTATTGCCATGGATGTCTGATTCCTGAGTTAGCTCTCTTCATGGTTCCCTGCTGGCATCTTGTTATTGGCTGTTTAGTTTCCAAAATGACTCTAGAACACTTGGTTTGGGATGACCTGTTTGGTGGGCAAACGCGGTATTCTCTGTTTTGCTGCGACCGTGAGCAGCTGCACACACACACATGCTCCAGACAAGGCATTCTAGGCCCTCTCTACCCATCTGCTCCAAGAACAACTACAGGCTGTTGAGAATCACACCCACAGTAAAAGAACTCTTGTACTCCATTTGTGAGAATACCATGAAGTACTGGCCTAAGTCGGTACACCCCTGAACTGTTGAAATACAGACCTGAGTTCGAACCCCACTGGAAGCAGACGAGTAAAATAGTTAAAAATACTACATTTCTGGATTACCTAGGGTCGGTCAACAACTTTGGGAAATAAAAGAGAATACCATGTAGTCAGCACTAGCAGCATTGCATGAAGTGACAAAGCCCAATTTGTGTACCAGGGAACATCATGAATCCACAGCTCACTGCAAGATAAAGCCTGCCTTTCTGAATTTGGAAAGCTCCCCTTCTTCACAACCTCTAGTTTTCTAGTACCTACTAAGTTACTAACTAATTGCTAAAGATGATTCATGCTATCCTGATTTTCAGATGATCAGCTTCACCCTTAGTACTAGGCCAGCCCAACTAACTTCCAAAAGTAGACGAAGTACTTCCAAAACTAGCCCAGGAACTTCCACAGATAACCCACCCTATTTCACACCAGTAGCATTTGTCAGGTCTACATTCAAACTTTCAAAGAATCCCATAATCTAAAGATACTCAACACAGAAGCTATTTCCATTAAAGCAGCCTAGAAATCAAACAAATGAAAGTTGGCAGAATGCACTTCATTGAAGTTTAAATAGTCGAAAAAAAAGAAAAGAAAAAATCAACGTGGAGATCAAATACAATTGCAAATGGAGAACGTAGAGATGTCAAGTGTACTGGTTACAGGTCTTGAAGGTCTTCCCAGAATCTGGCTTTCCCATTACCGCAATTTTAGAAATTCAAACTTCAAACTTCAAAGTCGTTTGTGATGTGAGTAGAAATGCTCCTTAACGACCCCACAGCCGTAAAGCAAAAGAAGCATGGACGACATCATGACCCCCTTCACGTTCCTTTTGATTATTTCCCCTCGCAGTTCAGATATAGATTTTCAACACCAAGGTGAACCGCTTGCTTCTCACTTTCTCCTCCTGTTCCTCTAGCCCGTTTTGTCCTGTTCTTTCTCCTCATCTGTGAATGCACATTTTCTCTTCCTCCTTCCTTAGGCTCCCCCTTCTCCTCGCCCTCTTCCTCTGCCTCTTGCTCCTCAGCTCTTTCCTTTTTCCTTTGAACCAAGGTCACCTCCAATCGCCGCCTCCTCTTATCAACACACTCCGACTAAGGCTTTGCTGGTTTTGACCAACAGCAGGCAATTCAATACAGTAGTGAATGTATGAACGAACAAAAATCAATGTCCGAATCATCTCCCTTACTGCCAGCACTCTAAGAACTCTCCTCTCTCTCTCTCTCTCTCTCTCTCTCTCTCTCTCTCTCTCTCTCTCTCTCTCTCTCCCTCCTTCCCACCCCCCTTTATGAAACCACAACTGGCTATGGCGGTTCAGGTCTTCCTTTTTCCTCCACCCTTTTCTACCTTCCTTGAGAAGCTGATTTTCATTTACAAAGTTACGAACTCAGTTGAAGGCAATTAAGCGACAGAGGATTTCAGTGATCAAGGAAGCAGATAAGACTCAAAAGAGTTGTTTGCCTCCTTTGTATATGAAGAATCCAAAGAGTTAACAAAGAAAGAACTGAGGTAGCTATGAAAATGAGCTTGACGATGTTCACCTACAGTGACCATTGGTTCAGACTCCGGTTTGAGAGTTGCAGCCGACCACAGTGCTTCTTTTCTCATCTGCAGCAACAAGAGGGGAACACGTACACGCAGACATTAAAAGAAAAGAAAAAAAGGCGCAAAAGAAACGGCAGGCATTCAGTATTTGAATCAGACACATGGAAATAGCTTCTCTACAGCACCCTACTAATGTCAAGGAATTAAGCTGGGTGCAGGATTAGGCCAAATTTTAAAAGCATCATGTAAGCATGATAAAAACCAGCAAACACAGCCAAACTGGATACGACCTCATGAGACCCCCAAGCTTCTGGATTCTAGCCCAGCTCCGTATTTCAACAGTTCATGGGTGTACCAACTGAGCTAGGCCTGTTGGTGGACCCAAAATTTCTTTCTTTCCCGTGGTCGAAAGCTACCTCCTCAATGTCCTCATCGCGCTATCCTCCTGTTCATCTTCCCCCCCCTCCTCCTCCTTCACCTCCTCCTCCCGCTCGTCATCCCGCCCCTTGTTCTCCTGCTTCTCCTCCCTTTCACTGGACTTTGCTCCAATACTAACCAAACTTACAAAATGAGAATGAATCTTCCGCTAGAACATGAGAAGATTCACTGCCACTCCCGCTCATCATCCCACCCCTCCTCGCTCCTCCCGTTCACTGAGCTTCATTTGATTGCTCACCAAATGTGCAAGATGAGCATGAATCTTCCCCTAGAACATGGGAAGATGCTCAGCCATATTTCCTCCTCCCGTTCCTCCTTCTCTCGCTCGTCTTCACCCTCCTCATCGCGCTCCTCCTCCTGCCACTCCGAACACGATCCCAGATCGTCCTCGAAGTGGTAGGATGGGTAAGACAGGTGGGAGGAGGAACAGGAGGAGGAAATATGTCTGTGTATCTTCCCATGTTCTAGTGGAAGATTCATGCTCATGTTGCATATTTAGTGATTAGCAGAGCGAAGCCTGGTGAACAAGGAGGAGCGAGGAGAGGTGGGATGACGAGCTGGAGTGGCAGTGTATCGTCTCGTGTTCTAGCGGAATAATCTTTCTCATTTTGCACATTTGCTAAGCAGTGGAGAGGGAGGAGGAGCCCGATGAGGAGGGGGAAGATGAGCGGGAGGAGGAAATATGGCCGTGTATCTTCCCATGTCGTAGGGGAAGATTCATGCTCATTTTGCGCATTTGGTGAGTAATCGAGTGAAGTCCGATGAACTGGAGCAGAGAGGAGGGTCGGGATGGCAGTTTATCTTCTCATGTTCTAGAGGAAGAACTGTTCTCATTTAACAAACATCGGCCTTTTGATCCCCCCTCCGTCGGCCTGCATTTTGGCCAGTGATTGGAACGCAACTATAGACCCCGCCACTGATCGTATATCTAGGTCCTCGGCTGGTCAGCCTACACAGGAGGCGGTGCCCATCCAAAAGTTGATGATGGACTACAATCTAGTCCAACCATACTGGACTTTGCATCCGGGGACAAGAGCTTTCCCATTGGTTAAAAACAACCATGCCCACCACACACCTTTCTCCGTCATTGCAATCAGACTCGCGTTCACTTCCACTTCACATACATGCAAACAGATGGAGATTCACACTGGCGCAGGGCGCCCGCTCAAAGCTTAGAGATATGGAAATGAAGAACACAGTTCAGATGCAAGTTCTCTCCAACAGGCTATGGCACATCGGCGCCTGAACATCCCAACCTTCGCCACTGTGTCCAACCCCACTGTTCACACACGCTCACTCTGGATCACCCTGAATACCACCACACACACACATGCTTAATCTCAATTCCTCCTACAGCGGCTATGGCCGCACTACCACTACTGACTATGGCTACGATCTCCCGTCAGCCCACTTCATCTTCGGGCAACCTGCAGACCACCTTCGCACAAGACTCTGTAGCAGCGCTTCCGCATGGCTTACGCAGCGAATGAATGAATGGCTGGGCGCTGCCTCCTGATTTATACTTCTGTAACTCGTTAACCTGCCCCTCTCCCAGGCCCTTGGTGTACACAGTCCCACACGGTACTTGCTTGACTGGACTCTGACTGACTGGGACCGGTACCGCTGACTGCATGGGTTTGCACTGCCAACTCGATGCAGTCGCACTGCCGACGTAATGCAGTTGGCTCACCACTTGCCCACTTGCCTCTGACTAAACGTGAGACACTTCGAAAGGCCACTTCCGGACCTTCCGGAAGTCTGTGGACTTGGCCTTTCGGGTACTGTAGCAGCTACGACCTTGACCTTTCAGGACTGTAGCAGCTACGACCTTGACCTTTCAGAGCATCTACAGCCACGACCTCTACAGAGCTGTGACTCCTGATCGACAGACCTACAGATCAAACCCCTACCACTACACAGACCTACGACAGACGACAAACAACTACCAAAACACAGATCACGGGTTCAAACACTCGGGGTCGACTCAATACTGTACATGGGCAAAGTGAGGTCTGGGGATCGAACTCTAGGGCCCGCATCTGTGACTGCAGAAAGGTGAAAACCATTTCATCAATGACTACTTCCTAATCTCAGGGACACTAATGGGGACAGCTAAAAGCGCTGAGATCCTGCCCCTTGCACTGTACCCGGGTCTGGACCACAAACCCATAGAACTCATATCAGCTTCGAACAGTATGTCAAAAAGGGGTCTAGCTTTCAGAAACTCAACAATTCCTTCCTGCTGAGCCAAACTTTTGATGCAGGAGTTCAGGAGTGTTGGCAGAATTTGAGGGATGCCTACCTACCCATACAAGATCAGTGGGAGTGGTTTCATGAAAGCTACTCCATATTATCACAGACGGTTGCTAGAATCTCAAGGAAATTAGCGACCGACAGGAAACAGCGGAAGCAAAATTAGCGACCAGCAGGAAACAGCGGAAGCAAGCGTTAGAGACAGCCCTGAAGATCACAGAGACAAATCTGATTGATAACCCCTCTGGTGCACTTTACACACATTTTCGAAAAGGCAAGAGAAGAGCTCACTACGTGGAGGTGGTGGGAACTAAAGGGACTACAAATAAGAGTCAGAATGAACGGATACGAGCTAAGTGAGTCAATGTCTAAACACGCAAGAATCGAAACAAACTCAAGGGCCAACGCAATAGAAAGCCTGAAAATCCTCTCAAATCCAATTGAAACAGTGACATACAATGAAGGAATGCTGAACGTAGAAAAGCAATTCTATGTGAGCTCTATCACACGAAGAACCCTATGCCCACTCACCCAGCACCAGAGAGGCACGTACTAGGAGGCAACAATACCTGGAACAAACGATATCTCAGGAACAAGCTGAAGCACTGGACAAGAACATCACCATGGAGGAAGTGCAACTCGCTGTCCAAAGTAATAAGTCAACAAGAATCGACTCAGGTAAGCTTACACCTTCGCAGCTATGGTCGCCCTCCTCCTGCGCCACCCCTAACCTAGCTATGGAGTCACGTGCGAGCGCCCTCTTCTTCTTCGGGCGCACAGTGCCCAAGTTGCCTTAAATCGCCAGTACACGACCCCAGCCTTGCTGAAAAGAAAACTCGTCGCCTGCGAAATTTTCGGAGGCCCAGCACCTTCGATAAAATGAATCGGCAGTGGGCGGTCTCCAAAAAGGGCCCACAGCCGATAGCTGGATGTACTGGTGGTTTAACGCACAAGCAGCAGCAGCGCTTCTGCATCTCGCAGCTGAACAAGTGGTGAGCCGCTGCATTGTAGCAGCTAAATATAGGGATTGGCTTGGCTTCGCCTGCTTCAGACTGGTACCGGTCAGCCGTGGCCTGTCGGCTGCAAACATTTTGTCGGTCCGGTAGCTTCCGGACCTTCCTGGGACATGCTGCAAAATGGACTTGGGACCGTCGGACTGTACTGGACGCTTCTGGACTTTTCTTGTCGGGTACTGGACGGACTCCTACCGACCTACGGCGCTTCGGTACTGACGCCTACCGACCTACGACGTTTCGGCCTCTAGACCCTGAGGCCTACCCTACTGGACAGCCCTGGGACTTGGGACTTGTTGGGACCCTGGGACCGGGACTGGGTGTCTGCCGCATGAATCCTTTCAATATGTGGGCATAGAGTGAAGAATAAAAGCAAAGCGAGAAAAAGGGAAATGTTTAAAAAAGATGCAAACATTAAGAACCTTGAAAAAGAGAAATGTTTCAAGTGGAGGAGAGGCACTCTCACCCGCCATAATGCTTCCTTCTCAGCAGCTGACTCAGCGAACACGAAGTTGCTACCACCATGCGCAGATACGATTCCCTCCACACACTTTGTTTGTTCCTTCACAGACGACTCTGCACCGTGCATTAGATTTGTAGATTGTCAACACCAAGATATCATTGGGAAAAAAAAAAAAAAAAAAAAAAAAAAGATATCATGATCAGTGATCACCCCAAAAAAAAAACAAAAAAGGGACCTGGAGAAACGTGATTATGGTCACCTAAAAAGAAAAAAAAGAAAAAAAAAGATATCATGATAACCGTCGGGATAACGATGTTCGTGAACGAAACACGCTGGGCGAGGCTTTACTCTCATGGAGGATACAATGTGCACAACAAATGAAATGGAGCTTTGCAGCTCCAACATTGCCCTTCTGTGTCATCTGCTCAGGTGAAAGACCATCAGGATACGTATTAAGTAGTAAGAGGTTTCCATAAGCCTTTTTCACAGGAGATGGAATGTTTTCATAAATGGGTGATTAGCACCGTCTTCACCGGAATAGAACGCACGCTATACAGTCATTATTGCCGTATCTAGACTAAGAGTTACAGCTAAAAAAATGACCATACATTCTTTTTTTTTTTAATTAAAAGAAACAAACAACACCAGCCCCTTCTATTCTAGGGGGCAACAGTCCGGTTACTTGTTACCGGCAAGCATGAGTTCAAGCAAAGAGTGGAGACTCAGAAAGTTGCAGCCTTTCCCTGCGTCCCGAGACGCCTGTCGGGGGGGGGCTGCAGGGACAAGATGAGGCTCCACTCCCCAATCCCGAGCTCCGGGCCCATAGTGACTGGGAAACTTTCTCTCAGTACCCAGACACACACCATAGAGCCCCCGTAGGCCCGGGGGGGTTAGACTCCCATCATATACCTGCAGTCAACCGGCAGCTCCCGCTCTCATACCCTTACCTTTCCCGCGACTCGGTATTCAACGCCCCCTGGCGCTCCCTTCCCCGCAACTCCCGTATTCAACGTCCCCTGGTGCTCCCTTACTCCTACTCCCATTACCGTTTTAGAGTGTGTAATCTCTCCTCCCTTACTCCCATTACCGTTTTAGAGTGTGTAATCTCTCCTCCCTTGTGTTCCATATCTATTCACTCTAAAATGACCATACATTCTATCCGGGGGAAAGGCGGGAAGTTTATGCCCTACGACCTCATGGAGCCCGGTTGACGAGAGACATCCACTGTCGGAAGCTGGTGTCCTTAATTAGTTTTTTTTATCAGGAACGTACAAGATACCGCAGGGGGTTACTTTTCAAAGATGAAGATCTGAACGGTGAATAGTGTCATCTTTCTATCCCCTACCACACCTCATGCAGCCCGATCGACGAGAGAGATCTCCTTTCTGAAGGTAGTGTCCTCCATCAGTTTTTCACATCCCCTCTCCCCTCCCCCCCTCCCCCAACCGCAAACACCCTGAAGCTTTATTCTAACAAACAAATCTGGGGGCTTGGAGCATCGCAAGGCCACTTTGCCACAGGTTTTAGGAAGACACTGGTCCAATCACTCTTTACTACTCTTTAGGGACTGGTCCTCAACCGCCGACCGGTCAACCCGATCAGTCATCTGCACAACTGTCGGTCGTTCGTGTTGGTGGTCCGCGCCAATGCAACCCTGCTTCGAGGAAATTATTAAGAAAACCCGTAAAACAGAAATAGCAAAACTGACTTTCAGAGCTGAAATTTTAATCACTGCGCTGATGACCGCCTTTGTCTTGTTGCTGGCCAAATCTTTTGTTCTGTTTTCTCTTTCAAACAAAAAAAAAAAGAAATAGCAAAACTGACACTGCATTGTCCCCACCTTCTCTGATGACAGGAACAAGTTCACACAAAAACTAATGTGTTTAAAGTTTAAACTTAAAAAAAAAAAGAAAAGAAAAAAAAGTGTAATAACCTGGGAAGATTTTCATGACCGGCCAGTCTGGACCCGCCGGTCACCCAGCATGATGCCCGGGGGGGTCTGACGCCCGGGATACCCGGGCATGGGGAAAAAAAAAAAAAAAGGCGATGGGTTTTTTCTGCACTCTCCATTAGGAGCCCAAATCTGGGCTCTTTTCTTTTTTTGAGAGTTGGCTGTCAAGGGGGGGGAAGGGAGGTATAATTTAAAACCGTATAAATGAATTTTAAAAGGACTAAAGGGGTTAAAAGGGGGGTGCCTTTGCTATGAACCACACAGTTCATCCCCAGTGAGTGCGCAGATAAATACCACATGCCTGTATGAGATCACACAAATTTCACACCGGAGACCAGAGAGATAAAGACCAGGTAGCACAGCTTATGAATTTCAACAAGTTATTACAAGAGCAATAAGAGTTCAGGTCGCCAGCGCTCATCAGCGCGTACAAAAGGTAACCAGTTACCAGCATCAGCTCACAGTTAGGTATCCTTCTCCTCCTTGCTCTTCTCTCTCTCTCTCTCTCTCTCTCTCTCTCTCTCTCTCTCTCTCTCTCTCTCTCTCTCTCTCTGGTCTTCTCTCTGGCTATGACCTTGCTGTGTCTTCTCTCCTATCTAGTTCTCACTGTGTCTTCTCTCCCTTCATGCGTGCACACTCACTAACTTCTACTCAAGGATCTACTCTGAATACACCCACTGCCAACTCTACTACCTCTCTGGAGTCCACTACTAACAACTAGCACTAACACTTCTGTACTGGCGCAGCTATGGCTGCCTTATCCCTGCCAGCGGTATCTTCCTCTCTCTCTCCCTCACTTAGCGCAGCACTCTGGCTTCAGCGCTCTGCTCCTCACTTCAGCGCACAAGTGCACCAGCACTTCCACGCTTCTTGTGAATGAGCAATCTGCCCGAATGGGAGGCTGGCCAGTCCTTTTGTAGTCTTGGATTGGACTTCAACTCGTGCCAGCCTCTGCTTCCTTGGTCTGACTGGGTTCCGGTACCACATTCCCACGGCCTGTCTGTTTCTGAATGTCAAGGCCTGGAACATTCCTGAATTTCCATTGGTCTGCTGCTGCTTGGGCCTTTGAGTCATGACTTTTTTCGAGTTTGGCATATGGATTTGACTGTGGATTGTGACTCCTGCCTCTGAGACACGACTCTTGCTTATGGGACTGCCCTTTCACTCGTGGGATGTGACTTTTCCATGTGACTTTGCATCATGGGACGTGACTTTTGCCCCTGAGATGTGTCTGTTTACTGGGTACCTGTTGGACTGGACTGCTGAGGTACCTGACTGTGACTTTTCTGAATTTGACGAATTTGGCCTTTCTAGACCAGGGCCTCTGGCCCCATGATCCGAATTTGGGGTCTGAATCGTGGAAGGCCTTTCACTCCCGCCGGCCTAATTTTGAGGTCCTCTGAGAAACAACTATCTATCCACTATATTGATTCCTCTTCGAGCCCTCTCATAGTAAGACACAATATTCGGTGCAGTTTGAATCAGCTCTTCCCTAGTAAACCAACGACCTTCAGATGGTTCTTGATAAGCAAATCTTACCTTGTACTGTCGCTGTGGCCTACCTCTGTGTCCGGATCTGAACACATCTTCTCCAACAATCCTGTCTACATCATACTTTCCATCCATATCAGGGGGAATCATCGAACTACGAGTAGGAAACAGGTCGTTAGTAACACAAGGTAGAAGCTTGGAAGAATGAAACACCAGATAAGTGTGCAAATGTGGAGGTATCTCGACAACATAGGAAGGACCATCTACATCACCGATCACATCTAAAATTTGCGACGGTCCTCTATAGGCGGGTAACAGTTTTTGAGAGATGTTCTCCTCAGGGAGAAACTCTTTGGACTTCACCCAAACTAGATCTCCTACAGCAAACTGCGAGGGTCTACGATGCTTGTTTGCTTGTTCTATCGTTTGATTCTGTGCTTTGACTATATTTTCTTTAACCTTATCAATATCTTTCTGGTATTGTACAGCAAATTCCCTAGTTCCTGGTGGAAGTCTCTGTATTTGATCAGGATTTAAACAGACTATGGGTCTACGAGGGCGCTATCCCAGATGCAACTCAGTAGGTGTTCTGCAAATTGACAGATGTACAGAATTGTTATAGGCACTAGCAACTTTGGACAGATGTTCATCCCAGTTAATTTGATCTGGTCGGATGTACATTCGCAGCGTCTGCTGCAACAACTTGTTCATCTGCTCAGTCTGTCTGTTAGTCTCAAGATGTCTGACGGAGACATAGTCAACTTAGATCCATAGACTTTCATGAGTTGCTGTCACTGTTCACTTGTGAACCGAGTGTCTCTGTCACTAACAATGGTTAAGGGATGCCCAAAGTCCTTTACCCAATGATTAAAGAATTCTCAAATTACCAAATCCGTTATGGCTTCAGCGGGAAGTGGAACAAAAACAACAAATTTACTAAATTGGTCTACCAAAACCATAACCTGACTTTTACCATTTCTGTTTTTGACTTTAGTGTCCATGAAGTCAATAGACACAGAGTCTCCAGGACCTGACAGAATAGGCATCGGTTTGAGTAAACCAAGGGGAGGCTGTGTGAACTCTTGTTCCGCTGACAAACTTGACAGCCTTGAACATAAGCGATACAATCATGTTTCATTCCAGTCCATGTATAAGAACGCAGGAGGTTAGCATACGATTTCCTCCAACCGAAATGTCCCTCAGTATCATGACATTCCCCCGAGTGTCTCTGTCACTAACAATGGTTCAGGGATGCCCAAAGTCCTTTACCCAATGATTAAAGAATTCTCGAATTACCAAATCCGTTATGGCTTCAGCGGGAAGTGAAATAAAAACAACAAATTTACTAAATTGGTCTACCAAAACCATAACCTGACTTTTACCATTTCTGTAACGGGAGTGAGGCTGAGGGTGAGCCGAGGGAGAGGAGAGAGAGAGGGAGAGAGTGAGAGCACACACACACACTCACTCACTCGACACGACGGACTCGGACTGAGGGTTGGACGCAGACACAGTGGCAAGGCACA